AAGGAGAAGAAGAGGCGCAAGGGATAGACAACTTGTTTGAAAAAGTAATGATGGAAAACTCCCCTAATTTGAGCAGAGAAAAAGTCACAAGTCCAGGAAGCACAGAGGGTCCCACTCAAGAGGAAGCCCATGAGGCCCGCTCTGAGACACATCATCATTAAAATGGCAAATAGCAAAGACAAACAGAGAATCCTAAAGGCAGCAAGGGAGATAGAGGTAGTAATATATAAGGGAGCCCTGGTATGGCTAGCAGGTGACACTCAACAGAAACACTACAAGCCAGAAGGGAATGGCCAGATATATTCCCAGTCATGAAAAGCAAAGGCCTGCAACCAACACTGCTCTACCCAGCAAGGGTCTCAATTCAAATGGGAGGCAAAATAAGGAGTTTCCTAGACAAAAGAAGGCTAAAAGAATACACCTCCACCAAACCAGCACTGCTCTACATGCTAAAGGGATTGCTTTAAGAAGATGAAGAAAAAGAGTCTATGAATACCCAGTTCCTTTCACAGTCACCGATACTGGATATTACCAATATTTTTAATACTTATTAATCTGACTATGACAATGATATGTTATTTTAATTATTACTTTATTATTTGTTGAAATTAAACCTATTTTTGTATATTTCTTGCCTATTTCTATTATTTTTTTTGAAAAGCTTTAAATGACTTTATATTCTTTTTCTATTTTTTCTCTAAATGTTTGTAGACATTTTTCCCTAAAAAAAACTATTAACTCTTTTATACATGTGTTGCAAATACTTTACTATCCTATTACTTGTCCTTTAACCTTTTCATATGTATATTGTTGTATAGTCTTAAATGTTTAATATAGTCATGTTGTCAATATTTTACTTTATAGCTTCTGGGTTTGAATATTTTACTTCAAGGTAAGAAAAATATCATTTTGTATTTTATCCTAAAACCCCTTAGATTTTACATATTGATTTTTAACTCACCTGAATATTTCTTGTATGAAATGTGAAATAGGGCCCTATATTTGTTTTATTTCAAGTAATAGTGGTCCATGTGCCTAATTTGTTGAATAAGCCTTATTATCCCCATTGATTTGAAATATCAATTGAATCATATATTAATTACATTGTTAGGCAGATATATAAGTTTATTTCTAGAATGCTCATTTTATTTCATTGATCTACTTGATTATTTCTGTGCTGGTGTCATCTTGGTTTAATTGCTGAGACTTTATAATGGTTTTAAATTTTTTAGTATTTTATAGTTAACTTTGACATTTAAAAAAATAGATAAAATCAATTGCATTTAAGTAAGAAAGAGAGAGATGGAACTCCTACCTTTTGTGGAAATATGGATGGAGTTGGAGAATATTAAGCTAAGTGAAATAGGCCAGTTGATGAAAGAAAAATACCATATGATCTCACCTATAAGTGGACTCTATTCAACAAAGTAAACTAATGAACAGAATAAACCACAGGCACAGAGACATGGAGCAGACTGAAAGTGACCAGAGGGGATGGGGAAAGAGGACAGTGGTGGAAAGAAGGGGAAGGGACTAGACAAAGAACATGTATGAATGACCCATGGACATGGACAACAGAGTGGGAATTGGCTGTGGGAGCAAGGGATGGGGGTGGGATGGGTGGAGGGTGTAAAAGGGGAAAAAATAGAGACAACTCTAATAGAATAAACATGATATATAAATTTAATAAACTAAAAAAAAGCCAGAATACTCACACACGCACATCCCTGTTGTTTTTTCCTAAGGATTGGGCCTTTTAAATTTTACAACTATTCTCCATTCCTGTTTCCACTCCCTTCTACCTATCTCCTACTCCCCATGCCAGTCTTCTATAAATTAGTAATGTGCTTTCTCTCTGGTATTACTTCTTTTATTGTATGTATTCATTAAAACATTATTTTTAAACAGGTGTGAAGGACAGATGGATGAATCCAAGGCAGGGAAGGAGGAAGTGGTGGCGGGTAAATGGAGACAAATGTATTTGAAAATTTAAAAATAAATAAATAAATAAATTTAAAGAAACCTTATTTTTAATAGCAAGACCACAGAAACAATTTAATAATCTTACAATAAGACATAATTTAAATATATAATGGTAGATCCATAGCCTGGCATACTGTGTAGACTGTAGAATTATGTTATAAGAAAGAGTAATTGACATAGAAAAAATTCACAATATTTCATTAAGTGAAAAAGTGGGCTGTGAAATTATGTGTGAGATCTGTGTGTCTGTGTGTGTGTTTGTGTGTACATGCAGCATGTGTGCATGCAGCATATATGCACAGTACTAGTAATTTTTTCTTGATGTTTTTCTGTTTTTCCAAATTTTCTGCATTGAATGCTGCAGGCTCATTTGGGCACTATGAAGAGGGGTAAAACGCTGAGAACATGAAAAGCTTTAAATCAAGTCTTCCTTCATTCAGTGAATTTTGAAGAAGCCAAAAGCCACAGTGTATTGGAAAAGAACTCTGGGAATATGCTGTTTTTCAAGTGCAAGGGGGAGGAGATGGTGTCTATTGGTGGTGAGGACTTAAGGCTCACCAAGGAAGATGAGATTCCATTAAAGAAGCAATGTAGAGCATCTCTGGGTTTCTGAACAACAGGCAAATTGATCAAAGTGGTGTTGGAGGAGAATTATTCTAGTCATAACAGGGTAGATTTGGTTGTAGGCAGGGAGATCTGCCAGGAGACTGTTTGCATATTTGACCTGAGGTAATGAGAACTTGGATTAAGCTTGTGGCAATAAAACTAGAAAGGAAGGAGCAGAAGGATCTGAGAGATGTTACCAAGGAACAATCAGAGCTAGAGATTCAAATTTGCCTAAATATATGCTAGGTGGTAGAGGAAACCATGTAAGGTGACACTTTTCAAGGAAATGGATGTTAAGAGAGAATAGCTGAGGACTGGGTCTTCAGGAATTCCAACAGTTAATGGGAGGAGGAAAGAAAAGGAGCCAGCAAAAGAGACAGAGAATGATGGGTTAGAGAAATAAGAGGACAAAACTGAGAATGCAATGCCATGAGAGCCTATGGCAGGAAAGTTACAGGAAGGGGTAGGTGGTTGATGGTATCAAATTCATTCTTTAGGTCACAAAGGCAAACTGAGCAGAGACCCTTAAATTTAGCCAGGAGGTTTGTTAGTGAACTTACATACAGAGAGCAGTTTTGGCAGAAAGTTCTGGACTCCAGAAAGTTCCAGAGAAGAGAGAGGTGGGGAAATATAGGCAGATCAGATTAATGTGTTCGGACTGAGAAGGACAAGGTCAGACTTGATCATTCTAGTCCTGCTACTTAATCACTTGAACTTCTTTCCTCTTCTGAAAATGGGAATAATCACACTAGCTCAGAAACTGTTGAAACTACAATAAAAGTTTAAGTGATTATTTTTATGCTATAGTGAAGGGGTTTCTTCTCCTACACCACCCCCCCCAAAATCCCTGGGCATGTTTTAACACATATGAATATTTCAGTTTAACAATCCTGTCCCTAAGTTGTTACTGCTTTGAAAATTTCCTGTCGGTGTTCTCTGGCATTTGTCATGCCAAGTCACTTTAACAATTTTTCCTTGAGCCTCTCAGAAGTGAGGACGTTGAGGCAAGGTAGTTAGGAGGGAGCCAGTGGTCAAGGTCATGAAGAATGTCTCTGAGATCTATGTAGAGACTGTTAAGTAAGAAAGGTTCTGCTTGAGACGCTGGATATAGTTTGTGCCAACCACACACCTGAGCAAGATAAGGCTGTAGCCCCTGAGAGGATGGTAGGAAGAAGCACCAGAAAACTTCCTTTTTAAACCATGGCACCTGCAGATTGCATGGCCCCTAGACTGCATGGTCTGAAACAGTCAGCCTGATTTTCAAGGTGTGCATAAGACCTTGTGTATTTTGCCTTCATCCTTTCTATTCTCACTTGGCAACCACTTACAACCAGATCTGACCAAAACCACCTCTTTTTTTCTACTTACTGTCTACAAATCAATGCTTTGAGGACTTTCCCCTTGTGAAGCCAAAGCTGTTTCCAGTTTGATATATTGTGGATTGATCTTTGTCTTAGTGCCTCATTTCCTCCTAAAGGAAGATTCCCTCTGAGGTAAAAATAGCTTCTACACAAGCCAGCAGGGCCTACACCCTTCACCAAGTCCTGGAGTTGCACGGAGCTGGGTGCTGGCTTAATTGGATGGGATTGTGGGGGTGGGGCAAGTATATTTTCTAAAACTGGCACTTTCCAGACCCTGAAACATGTAGAGAATGTAGTCAAAGGACCCTTTTAGTGTCCCTGCTTTTTTTAAATGGAAGAACTTGGTTTCCTTTCTGGGAAGATGGATTATCTTGGAAAAACGGGGTCACATCATGGATGGTGTACCCAAAAGCTAAGATGTGTGGGCACTTCAAAATGTGACAGGAAATCAGAGCAGGGGTACTTCCAAGGAGGTTGGTACATTATCAGAGACCTATTTGGAAGACCTGGGAGTCCTGCTCGGCTTTCCTCTCCTTGCAAGTGCCTAACCATTCAGTCACTCAATTTGGTGTGAGCATCTTCTCAATTAGACACTCTGCTCTGCTAAGGGAAGGAATGAGAGCTAAACATTTAGGCCAGGGTCCTGGTCTATGAGAGTAATTGCTATAAGATGAGGACAAGCAGTCCCTGCTAATGCTTTACTGAAGAGCTGAACTAACCTCTGGGCTGGGCCTGCCTTGTGGGTGCAGATGTGGTATCTGGGCCAAAGCCAGGCCTGCTGGGCCCGAGGCCAGAACTTGGAAATAATTCTCTTCTGAGGCCCAGGGTCCAAGCTTGGCCCCCAGCAAGCTACTCTGACAGCCTCTGCTGCTTTCCAAGCCCCTGCACCTTCCACCTCTCATCTGGATCGGCCCCTTCCTCTTCTCTTCCCCCCACCAGCTGTCCCTTTTCCCCTGAGCGGGAGACTGCTGCCATCGCTTACTTCCTTCCCCTTGCCTAGCGGGAAAGGTCAGCAGCATCCTGGAGCCCCCGTGTCACTCCCAGACAACCATGATCTGCAGTGAGAACCAGCGGCTGTGAACCCTCCTAAGCCGCATGCCGCTGAAACTGCATCACCGGGGCAACGCCAGTAGCCTGGGCGCTGGCCCGGGACACAACATGGGCTTGGGGGTCGTTCCTGACCCCTTTCTGGGGCGTGAGGTGACCAGCGCCAAGGGCGACCATGCCTGTCTTTACATTCTGCTCATCAAGATCTTCTACACCTGTCTGGCTGGAGGCCTCATCCTGGCCTATACCCACTCTCTCTCAGGCTCATTGAAGCCAAGGATGAGCCATCCCAACCCCACCCCGAACACCACGTCCTGGCCGCCGCAGCCCAACTGCTGGCTGAAGGCCGCTGCCCACCCTTGCCCAGAGCACCCAGGGGGTCTAGAACCACAGCAGCAGCTCGCTCATGCCTTCATCATCTCCCTTATCCTGGGTGCAGTCCTTGACTTTTCCTTTCCTCACCTTCCAGGGTTTGCCTCACCTGAGGCCCAGACAGTGATGAGAGACCAGGAGACCTTCTCTGGAAGGAGCACCACCCTACCCCTCCCGGCCAGTTTCTCCCTCTTCTCCCTCCTCTCCCCCATGCCTCCACCCAACCCCACACATCCAACTGCCATAAACTGCCTCTACTCTCTTGTGTTCAGAAAGCCCGTGCTCCAGCCCTCGGGGGACTGAATCCAACACGTCCAACACTTGGCATTGTCCTGCAGTAGTGAAATCTATCAGAACTCTGGGCCGTCTAACTGGCAGCTGCTCCAGGGGCACATTCTGCAGAGCCACTGGACTTGTCATCGCTGCCAGGATGGCTGCAGCAGCTCCAGCTTTCTGTTGCCTTGGGGACAGAGACAAAGAGAATGAAGGGATTGCAGACATCATTTCCCTCCCTCCCTCCCTCTTTCAGCAGAGAGCTAGCAGGCTATGGGAGCAGCCTATCGGACAGAATGGACACAATGGGGAATGAAGGGAGAGAAGGGCACAATGTGGAAGGGAAGACTTATTACCCAACTGTACAGTTTTCTTGCACCCAGTTGTCACCCCAAAGGTAATTTTCTTGATTTTTAGTAGCCTTGTCATCCATCCTCTGCCATGAGTACTCATTGCTGGGTGCATCACGCTAATATCTCTAAATGGTTCTCATCTATTGATTCAGTTGTTATGGCAGCTATCTGGTTCATCCATAGAACACAAAGCTCAGATGTCCCCTGCTCTGTAACATGGGGAATGTCGGAGACAGGTAATACAAGTTGTTTGAACAATAACCTAAGATTCTTCTCTCAAAGATCACAACCTTGAATCCCAGTACTATTTAGAGAAGGATTTTTTAATTTGTTTTGGAAATGATGTTTAGATTTAGGGGTTGGATTTTGGTGGTATTTATATCTACATATCCAGTTCTAGTAGAATAGATCTGATTGTGGGTGAAGAAAAGATTTTTATGACTAAATGGGTTACTTTTTAAACTGTTTTAACAGTTAGAATGATTTTATTACTTCTTTTTTTTCCTTAATTCTGAAGCACTTTCAGATATCACAATGCTAAGTTAGGATTTCCCACTTTCCTTGTTTAGTTTTTCAAGATACACTTGGAAAAATAAAACTCCTCTCATACCTATCATAGGTATTATCAAAGTTAATTTTTAAAAAGATTTTATTTATTTATTGTTAGAGACAGGAGAGGACAGAGAAACAGAGGGAAAGAAACATCAATGTGTGGCTGCCTCTTGCTCACCACTTAGTGGGAAACTGGCCCACAACCCAAGCATGTGCCCTGACTGGGAATCAAACCAGTTACCCTTTGGTCCACAGGCCAGCTCTCAGTCCACTGAGCCACACCAGCCAGGGCTGAAAGTTAATTTTTAGAAGGCACTTTTGAAACTCTCTCAAGAAAGTGGCTTATTAAAAGAAAAAAAAGCCGCCAAATAGCATAAATCTTTAAGTCAGGGGGATGATGCTGGAACTAAGCAATCTTAACCAATGATGAGTAAAGTTAGAGGTGTATGTTTATTGACTTATTATCATTGTCTTGAGGTCATCAGAAACTTGTCTGCTTAGGGCTTAAATGCTTATACCTGATGATTGCTGTTTGGGCTTCATAAAACACACAAAATCACCTCTTAGCATTAAGCCAACTTGCTTAAATACTGCTGATTTTTCAGTAATAGCAGGACAAAGATATCATGGGTCACTTAGATGCATTGATAATACACAAACCTGAACTAAGGCATTGATTTTGACTTTGTAGCACATCTTATATTTTACTGGAGCTATTAAGTCAAATGAACTCATTTTTATTCTTAGCGTCCAGTCCTTGAAGATATACTGGTTTTGCTCCTTTGGCTTTTCTCAAGTCCTAATTTCAGCCCTAAGATAGTCCCCTGTCCTTGCAAGTGGGGACCGAGGATTGGGCAGCAGTCCCAGACAATGATGGGAAGAAAGGGGTGCTGTGAAACCATCTCCAGGCCAGTCAGGGAGGCTTGAGTAGGATGTGGAGGGCGGGTACAGATATTAAGCCATGCTGGGTGCATGTGTCGGGGTGGGGGGGTCTTTCCCCAGTGATGTATTTCAAGCACAACAGTGTCCCTCATATATCTGGCATAATGAGAGACAGATAATTAGAACAGTGCCTGTATTTCAGATACAACAATGTCCCTCACTTATCTGTCATAAGTGGAGACACAAGATTTTTTCTTAAGTGACTGCAGTTTTTAAAAAGATTTTATTTATGTATTATTTTTAGAGAGGGGAAGGGAGGACGAAAGAGGGGGAGAGAAACATCAATGTGTGGTTATATTTCGCACACCCCCTGCTGGGGACCTGGCCTGCAACCGAGGCATGTGCCCTACACTGGGAATTGAACCAGTAACCCCTTGATTCAACAAGATTTTTTTTTATTAATGACATATAATCACTGATTTAGATGGTGAAACTTTGTAAACATTTGTACTACTTTTTCATAGACATTTTAAAAAATGTATTGAAGGAAGGAAGGAAGGAAGAAAAAGAAGGAAGAAAGGAAGGAAGGAAGCTAGGGGCAATTGGGACAATGCCATAAAAATAGTAATATCCCAGTTGTGGAAAACAAATCTCCCAGCGGTGGAATAAAAAAATGTATTCCTGCTTTTAGAAATATTTTAAGCTTTTTGTGATGATTAGATTACCCATTAAGAACATGTAGCAAGAATAGCTGCAAAATACCCCCAGTGAAAAACAGTAAACTGGCCTGGGAAAAATGATTTCCTTTATTGCCAGTTGCTTTCTTCACACACTTGCAGGGTTTGTAACTGTGATGAAATTTTCCAGAGATCTGGACACTATCACCTAGTGGTGGTGTCAACAGCATTGAAGTCGATCATATGGTGATCAGCAAAAGATAATGGGAAGAAAGAAAAACTAGGTGTTTGGCCAATCCGCAGTTTTGATAATGTATTCCTGTACAAATTTGGAAAATGTTAGCCTTCTCCTTAATGTAATTCTAATAAATTAGAGTGATTCCTTTTTTCAACCCACACAGCAGTCTATTTCTCTTTTCTGTGTAAGCAGATCCTGTTTTACTTCAGGTTCAGATCTTTGCTCCATAATAATAATGAAGAAGAAGACCCACACTTCTTTACTTGTAACTAAGGGTTTCAACAAAGAACTAGAAGATGTTTTGAGTTCCAATGTCTGGAAGTGCTCATAGACAGTGCAAAAAAAATTGAAAGCTTTTCTTCCATTATAGACATAATTCTGTGTTGTTGATTAACTTTTCTACAGGGACATAAATGGGGTCTTTTCATTAGTTTGTATTTACCATCTTTGTTCCAATTTGCCAATTCTTTTAGAAACCAAAGATCTACACATGATTTGTACCAACAAACAAATGTTTTCCAAACAATATTGCCTGAAGGCTAAAGCAAATGTGCCATGGTACTGGAGAAAGCACAGTACCAGAATTAGGAGAACAGGGGTCCACACCTAGCTTTACTAATCAATGGGCTTTGTTCTCAGAGTGAACTGCTTAACCTCTCTGGGCCCATCTCACAGTGGTGGAACTCTGAGGATCAAGTGAGATTACATATGGGAAATGGCCAGGGGAAGTACAGCAGCTATAGAAGCATAAGATGTTCAGTTTGTATTTTCATTTTCCTTCTTTGGGGGAATGTCCTTGGACCATTGTGTGGGTGAAGAGGGAAAGAGAAAATTCCTCACTATGTAAAATTTACTTTCATTGCTTAAGGAAGAGGATTGCAGAGATTTAGCCACTAGTTCCCAAATTTCTGAGCCTATTTCCCTTATTATTCTCAGAATTTTTGGATGATCAGGAATCTGTGTATCACTGTCTCACTATTCTATTCTACTCCCCTTTACCTATATGCCCACAGTGCTTTTAACAAATTATGATAATGATAGTGAATTTTCAGGGTTCCACCAGGACTGGAGTCTCAACTTTGAAGACACAGGTCAGCGAGAGAGAGAGAGAACAGAAGAGAAGAGAATGAATGGAAAGAATAATGGGCTATGGGCTTTAGCAGGAAGGTAGGAGGTAGAGCAATCTAGAATGTTCTGTGAAGGTAAAGGAGCATGACTGAGGGCCACCAAGGGTGAATATGTTAGATTGCTCAATAGTTAACCCAAGGAGAACTTGAACCACGAATCAAAATGACTTTAAAAGAAGAGGCTGGATGGGAAGTCACTTTTCAACCCCTTTTGTTATTTTGTACCACATACAGCCTGTCCAGGAAGACAAATAATGTGATTAATGCAACTCTTGTTTCTGTGGAAGATCTCAGAACATGGGACCAGGTAACCCCATCAGTCACCCATCAGCTATAATTTGAATGAGGACAGGATCTCAGTGGCTTTGGCTTCTTCCTCTGAAAAGAGTGCAGGCAGGGAGATATATAGATATATATGTATCTATATATAGAGAGAGTATAAATTTAAATTTATGTATAAATATACATTTTTGTATAAATTTAAATTTATATATAAATATATATATTTAAATCATGATAGATATACACAATGTAAAATTTACCATCTTAGCAATTTTTAAAAGTGTACAGTTTAGTGGTATTAAGTACACTCAGGTTGAAAGGGCGAACATTAAATTACTTTATATAGAAGCAGCAGGGCTTAATCATTGCTTCAGATGACTCCTTGTCTAGGGTATTAATGTTTTATACTACATCATTCAGGACAATTTAAGGGCAAAATCCAAGAAAAGAATCTCTAGTTGTACATTTCAGTGGAGTCTGGAAGGAGAAATATCCTGAATGTTCATGTGTTGGGGTGTGCAGTACTTCTCACAGCTTCTCAAATCACCTCCTATTCTTAATGCCAAATGCTCTTAGAATTCTGGGAAGGACTAGAATGGCCATGAATGACTGCATTTCAGTAGAAATCTGCTAAATTCCCATATATTTGACCCACAAGATGTCCATTCATGGAAACACATCAAATCCCTG